ATAGGATTATTCGCCGGCTACTTTGAAACAATACTATTACATTCAGTGGATGTTTATCAACATATAAATGTCTCAGAGACTAAATATTGGACTGATTTGGATTGCCTGGACTCTTGGCAGTCTAACTACACCGTTTTTGTTGGAATATTATGAACCAGTGGACTAACAGGGGCTTTATATGTGAGTACAGACCTTATTGTTATTGTTTTTTTTCGATGTTGGCAGCCTGACATAAACACTAATTGTACCTGCTATGTTGATTCTATCTTGAAATGCTTTACATCGTTCGAATCACGAGAATCTCAGCTTTCCAAATATATATAACATGTTTAGCTTCTTTTTTGATAAGTTTTTGTACGTAACCAATTAGTCCCCTAAACCATCCAATGTACCGTGGGCGGTACGTCCGACTGCTAACAGGTTAAAATCACAACATTTCCACCTGAGGAAACCCAGCAGCCAGAGCTCATGAAGGATCCATCACCTGTCAAACAAAGAAAATAATATTAATAGAGCCTCAAAGGCATTAATTCAGCATTACAATCACTTTAGAGTGTTTTAAAAAAAAAAAAAAAAAAAGGGTGCATTTTAACTATGTTGTACTAAACTCTGGTTACACATTTTTAGTACACCACGATCTAAAAACATACTGCACAGACTAAGTAACACTTTAATGTTAACCTAAGTTAATTTAAAGTCATCAACTTAATGGCTTTGCTAACTTCATGCATCACTGACTAGCCAATCAGTGACACGCAGTCTGACGTCACATCTATGGACACATTTTCATATTTCTGCCTCGATTGCTTGGTGCCCCGGTTGAGTTAGTACTAAAAATAAAAAGTACCAGGTACTATCACCTAACAGAAAACCCTAAAAAGTGTCCTGACCCAAATAGGGACTAATGAAAACAGGCTATTAGATAATACGGTTCCTTTGTGATGCAAGCTTATTGGCCATTAAATACAGATTATGGGCTGGATTTTGATATCCAGAGTGGATTGCATTAACCATTTAATTTCAAAAGGTCAAAGAAATTATCCAGCAGAATTTGACCCTAGTTAAATTTTGACTATAGACCACCTGACTTCAGCATCTTAAATTTCTTAATTTTATCTCCTTTTCTGTCTTTATTTATTTGTACCATTTGTATTTTATCTGCTCTATTTCTATTGTATATCTTAACCAGCATCTGAGGGTGGACGGCAAAGAAACAATTTCATTTGCACAGAGAAATGCCTTTTTTCTTTGGACACATGACATTAAACACCTTGAATCTTGAATCTAAAGCTTGGAATCTCCACACTTTTAAACCAACAGATATTGTGATACAATTTCAGCAAACAAACTGAAGAAACCTTACCTTGGACACACCCAGGTTCTGAAATCCTGAAAGAGAAAAGGAACATAAGATTAGCTTAACTGTGCATTTACACACCAGAGTGCCTGACCTGCGCCCTTACTGTCAAACCCATCAGTGCAGTGAAAGATAATCATGAGGTTTCAGGTGAAACACGGACTCACATGCAACTCATCATCAAGGTTTGACTAAAAGCTGGCAAGTCTGCATCTGCAGCAGGTATAGGATGAGAACTGAAATGGCACAACTCAATTAATGGGCCTAGTGTGATAAAGCTAAGAGTAAAATAATTTCTTATTTTTTTAATATAATGCACTGTTTAGTTGATGCATTTTAAAATGTGTGAACTGAACATTCAGCTTGTGATTTTGGTAAATATTACAGCAATGTTTAGAACTTACAGAACCTATTTAGCTCATTTAGGAATTTACACTCTCAGATAGGACAAGACAGGAAACCCTTTGTTTTACAAGCATAAACAAAGGGAACACGCCGACTCCTCAAGTTCTTAATAAAACGGATTATACCCTTTGTAAACAAGGCCTTAGTGCTTGACCTTTATATTAGTTTTAACTTTGTTACTTATGAAGGTCATAGTGGACGTTAGTTGACCCAACATAGTAGCACGGAGGTCTTATGCACGGGTATTGTCTTGTTTGACGCAACTAAAATTAACTTCCAATTTTAATCAGTTTAGTTCAGTTCTCGGTGAAGCAAGCCAGCTTCATTTAGATCGTTTTGTATGTGATGTTTGAAGTACACACCAACCCTGACCCACAGGTCTTCCTCCTATGAGAGTCATTAACCTCAAACACATCAACCTAAACTGTTATAACATTACAGAACACAGCCCCAGCACCTTAAAGTTAACTGGACTCCCAATCAAAGCCTAAATTGCATCAGTCCCTCGTATCCATCGTTTAATATTCAGCTGCATTTTCCTCATCAGCAGAAACCACGAGGTGCATTTGGCGCTACTGAAGCTGCGAGCTAACAATGTGCGGAAATAAACGCGCAAACGCATAAATATAAACACGACACCTGCGACAATAACGAAGTGAATCATCGCTAAATGTAAACATTTAGAGTAAAACAAGGTGTCACCTCGTCAGTTCTCGTCTCTCCAGCACCTCACGTCCGACCTGCATCACCGCAACAAGGAAGAGAGGTCGTTAATGAGCCCGAGCCGCAATTTATCTCTTTATCAAACCACGTGTCTCCTGCTCTCTGCCGTCAAGCAAGCAGCTTCCGGGTTTGCCTGTGCCGCATAAAAATAAAAACATCGTTTAACAGTATACTTTCAAGACATCTTCTCTTTAATACGCATCCTGCATATTATTACTGAAACACATTACTACCGAAATGTAAACATAATGACATAAAATAGCAGCATAGAGGCACAGCCTGAATATACAAGTAAGGAAAATAAATACAGTGGCATACAGTACATTTTCCACATGACTTTATCAATCTCTCACGTCATTTTGGAGGAATCCTTACGGTGTTGCTTCAGCTAACTGACGTTAGCAGGCAAACTTTTATGCACAGCTCTCTGAAGGTCCTGCTACAATATTTTAATAAGGTTGCAGCCTGGACTTTGACTGAGCCAATGCAACATCTTTTTTTAGCCATTCTGTTGCAGATTTGCTGCCAAGCTGTAGCTATGGGACCGATTACTTCTTATTTGACCCTAAAATACTTTTGATTAGCACAGTGAATGCAAGGTGCACAGGTCCTGTGGCCGCAAAACAGTCCTCAAATTGTTACCCCCCTCTACCACCAACAGCTGGTATGAGATGTTTGTGTTGATATGCTGTGTTTGGTTTTTTTGGCAAACATGGCGGTGTGCATTATGACCGTGTGTGTGTGTGTGTGTGTGTGGCTAACATAAATAACAACATTAAATTATTATTGCTGTTACTGTTGTTAAGATTTTTGTTTAGCTTTTGTTGATGTTGGACTGTGGCCCATGGCGCTATTGTAATATTTACGTTTTGTATTACCCTTTAATTAGCAGAAAATGATACCATAAATGGCATTTTTATTTCACTCATATTCCTGTTTTTGTTTGTTTTAACTATGATCTGCTACATTAATAACTTATTGCCTAATATTACCTAATTTCTTACCTAATCAAGGGTAAACATTTCTCATTCGGATGCTGTAGTTACGTCAGAGGCGGTGTGAGTTAAACTTTTAGTACTTAAAGCTAAAAAAGTTTGGGGTTATATCTCATATTATTCCTTTAAATTTGAAAAGGAACGACATCGCATCATTAAAACCAGCAGGTGTCAGCTGTTACTAAAGAATTCCGATTTCGGCCAAGCCAACTGTGAACTACAAAATGACGTGTTTGCGTGGCTGAAGTACGGAACGCCGATTGGTCCAAACTCGCTGAAATTACAGTTTGATAACAGAGCAGCTGGAGAAGGAGAGGAGGGAGGTGGAGATGGGGGAGATGCCTCTAGGACTGAGAAGAACACAACTTGTACTTAATTATTGGGCAAATCTTCAAGGCCATGGACAGGATCACCCACCACAAGCAGTTCTTAACCCTTGCTGGGAGAAAGAAAGGCGGAAATCAAAGAGCTTTGGGTGGATTGTGGGTGGAAGAGCAAGTGAATTTAAACTGGATCAGTTGGACGAGTTTTGTTACCAGCAATATCTCCCTGGATACTTCCTGAAGCCAAAGTTGATTTCACTCTACTGGATAAGAAGACTAAGGATGGGGCATTTATTTTAAACTCTTATACGCAGGCTTACATTGACCAGTTTTATGGTTGTGTTCAATTATATACAGATGCATCTAAGGATTCAGCCAGTCAAAGTGGTGTAGCAGTTGTGGTCCCAGAGTTCATGGTTAAAATAGAAAAAAGGATCACTGATACACTGTCAGTATTCACTGGAGAACTGCTTGCAATTCTGTTGGCGGTTCAGTGGGTGGAAGATATGAGGCCATTAAAAGCTATTGTTTGTTCAGACTCAAGAGCATCATTGCTTAGTTTACAAGGTAGTCACTCAGATGCGAGAGCAGATATTCTAGCAGAAATTCAGCAAACACTGTTCAGGATAAACATGATGGGTCTTACAGTTGTGTTTCTATGGATTCCAGCCCATTATGGAATAATGGGGAATGAAATGGCAGACAGAGCGGCGAAGCAAGCCACAAAACATGGGACAGTTGACCTGGCTGTTAGTTTTGGTCAAGCTGAAGTGAAGAGTATCATACGGCAAGAAATGAGGGATAGATGGCAAAAGCAGTGGGAGGAGGAAAGGAGAGGACGGTGGTTGTGTACAATACAAAGGGGGGTAGGAGAAATGAAGACCACTGGAAGGAGCAGGAGAGAGGAGATGGTCATATCGAGATTGAGATTTGGACATACTGGGTTAAATGCTACATTATTCTTGATTGGGAAACATAATACGGGGGAATGTGCCTTCTGTGGAGACACAGAAACTATAGAGTTTGTGATATTGCACTGTCTGAAATATCAGGTGGAGAGGAGACAATTATCCTAAAACCTTATTAATATGAAAATGAAATTGGATCTGGTTGACCTATTGCAAAAAGGATTCTGGAAGTAAGAGTTACCAGGCGTCATTCCAGTCCACATTCCATACTAGTGGTGGCGGTAATGCACCAATCAGTTGTTTGCCAACCGCCAATAATACGTAAAAGAAGAAGAAGAAGAAAAGGGACTGTACGGTGGGGTTCAGAGATATAACTCAAGGTTAAAGGGCAAGCTTCCGGCCATGAGAATTTTAATAGGTATGTACAGTTTTTAAAAAGTAACACGTTTTTTTAAAGTTGCTCGGAAAGGTCAGAGTGACATTACGCTTTCAGATAGCTTACAGCTAATGTTTACGTTGAGGCAAATAATGAAGTGCCTTATATCCATTAGTGAGTTTGTACTTGTGCATTATGTTGGGCTGTAGCACTATTGCGAACAGAGCCTGAGAGCTTTGAGAAAGCGTGCTAAATCTGTGTGCTTATGGTGTGTTTCATAGTTGAGTTTGTTGAGCTCAGGTAATGCACAAAGCAATGTTTTGTAAGCATGTACAATACGCATGCGCACCACGCATGCCTGACTCACCTAATTTTGAAGCGTTTCTATGTATTTATTTAGTTGCTTGGTTAGTTAGTTATTTTTCACCCTTTATTTACATCTGTAAAAATCGGCTAAATAATAGAAATAGTTCTCTTTAAGTTAAACTGCAAAAACGAGAATAAAGTTGACCCAAAGCCACCTTAACGTCATGAGCAAAAAGGGTTTTTTGAAAGTTGCGACTTTCCTTTGTTACAGCAGTTAAAACTGAGTGTAATCTTAAATTGAACGTAAAACGTTAAAAAAAAAAATTAAAGCACGATATGATAAAATAAATCAGATTTTAAAGAGTAATTAAGAAAAAGAAAAAAACTTACATGAGTGTAATTGTAAAAGAAGAAGCACTCAGAGAATGCAAACCTCCAACAAAGCAGCTCACTATCTGGAATATTAATTTTCTTTTAAGAAAATAGTATTGTATTTTATATATATTCATGCAATTTTCTTCTTTTAAAATGTACTTTAAGGAGTTTGTAGTGCAGGAAAGTGAATAAATTTTGGGGTGAATTAGAAAGAAAGGTAGATGTGAAATGTAAAAATGAGGTCATAGGTAAAATGTGATATGATATTTGGATACAAATTATGTTTGACATTTACAATCCCCAGTTACCTGTATCATTTCCTAAATGTTCCCAATACAAACAAAGACAGTAGCATTTTAAGCTGTTTTAAAGATGCATTTTATCAAAGTTTGACCTTATTTAACCTTGAAGAAATCGTCAGCGCTAACTTGATATTTAAAATGCTCATATATTATTCCTTATGTAGCTGCATGTTGTCAATACAAACAGCAGTTAGAAACCTAGTTTCAAAAAATCCCATATAGCATTGCATTAGTGTCACCTGAAGTAGACGACAGAGGTCAGCTGTGACATGGAATTTTAAATCTTTATACAGTACTTTCTTTACACACTTGTACGAATCACAGTTTCTAAGTTGGAGGAAGTGTGCGGCTTTTGTTTTTCAGTTTGTTCCTTTTGTTTTGTTCCTTGTCCTCTTGTAGGAGGGGGATCTGGCTTCGTTGGCCGTGAGCTTACCCGCCTACTTAGGGACAAAGGTCATGAGGTGACACTGATATCACGCCAGCCTGGTCCAGGGAAGATAACATGGGTATGACCTAAAGTTAATACAAAGTAAAAGGGCAAACCTAAAGCTCATTTTAGGACCTGTTGATTCATCACTGTTAACGAAACATCATACTGGAGCTGATGCCTGATGGTTTGAAGGACTGAGATTAGAGAGGGAGAAGAAATTTATTAATCCCTCGTGTTGGTTCCTCCGGGAAATTCAGTATGTACAAACTGTACAGACAGAGACGTACAAACTGATAAATGTGGAAGGGGGATAGTTTACAGATCCAGTGACATTTCTAAACATCTTTATGTTTCTTCCTCTCTGCTCCTGCAGGGTGAGCTGGAGTCTCAGGGTCTCCCACCGTGTGAGGGTGCCGTCAACTTGGCTGGAGAGAATCTCATAAACCCACTGCGATGGTGAGAAATAAATAATCAAAGAGTCCATCCTAATATCTGCAGCATTTTAATGCATTTACAGGGATTGTCACTGTTTCTTTCCTTGGGTTCTGTTTTGAAGGTGGAATGAAAGCTACAAAAAAGACTTGTTCTCCAGTCGCGTTGACACAACTAAAGCTCTTTCTCAAGCCATCGCTGCTTCCTCCAGTCCTCCTCACTCTTGGGTGCTGGTGTCAGGTGTAGGTAAGCATTTAATAAGTGAGATTCTACTCAGCACAGCAGATCAGATGAACTCATTGATAATATAGATAGTAATTCTATTATTGCTTATTGTTCGTTTGTTTGTTTTCATGACACAGCTTGCTATAAACCCAGTCTAACAGCTCAATACACAGAAGACAGTGAATGGACTCCGTTTGACCTTCTCTCAAGACTTGTCAAAGAGTGGGAAGCAGCAGCACTACTTCCTGAAAATGTGGCAAAAACCACCAAACAAGTCATCATCCGGCCTGGTTTGTATACGGCACATGCTTATGTTTATTGTCCATTCTGAATCTGTCTAAATCAGGGGTGGGCAACTCCAGGCCTCGAGGGCCGGTGTCTCTGCAGGTTTTAGATGTGTCCTGGAACCAACACAGCTGGCTAAATTAGCTCCTCAACATGTCCTGAAGTTCTCCAGAGGCCTGGTAACAAACTAATCATGTGATTCGGGTGTGTTGACCCAAGGTAAGATCTAAAACCTGGCCTGGAATTGCTTACCCCTGGTCTAAATGGATCAGATGAAGGGCCACATGCATCTCTCTGGTCCTATTTAAGGTCTTTGCTGGATTTTTTTCCTATTTCTTAAGAACATGGCTTTCAGATCCTGTTCGTCTGCTGTAGATGGTTTCTTTAGGCCTGCCACTTCTCCTTTTGTCCTCACGTCTAGTTTCTTCATAATTTGTAAGTGTAACCTGTAGTTCACACTGCAGGTGTTAATGCTCAATTGCAATTTTTTGATCAAATCCGATTTTTTTTTCTTTCTGGTTGTTCACACTACAAATAAAATGTGACAGCAAATGCGCTCTAGTGTGAACGGTTCATGGCCCTCAAAGTGGTCCACATGCACAAAAGAAGATGTCACACACAACGCGCTCTGTTTGCGGAAGTAAAAATGGCGGCTACAGAGCTAGTAGGTGTTGTTGCAGCAGTCTATCAATTTCTGCACAGTCGTAACCGACAGAATTTTGACAAATTAAATAGAGAAAGAAGGAAACTGAGAAAAAAGCGAGCCCGTGCTTTAACAACGGCCACCATGCTTTCTCGTTTGTCTTCTCTAGCGCTGATAATTGGCGTCCGTCTTGTGTCAGTGATGTAAAAGACAGATTAAATGCAAAATGACCATTCAAACAGCAGTCGCTTTCTAAAACATCAGATATGTAATGGATTCAGTACCACATACGAAAGTGACCTAGGTCGGATTTGAAAATATTGGGTTTGTGCCGTTCAAGCTGTCATACCATGATCGGATATGAGTCGGATAGGATCAAAAAAAGTCTGATTTGATGCGCGTTCGCCTGCAGTGTGAACATAGCCTAAGTGTTCTGCTCATAGTTATTTTGGAATCACCAAAAATATAATTTTTATGCCTGTCAAAATATGTTATCCTTGGCATTTTTCAGAGATTGACTAAATCGACTTAAAGAAATGTGGAAAAAATTTTGTTTTTATGACTGGCTTCTAATAACAAAGTGCCTAAGGATACATTTTTAAAAACAGTGGTTCATTTCTTGAATTGGGTGCCTTTTTCATGCTTGAATGATTCACAGGTCAGTGTTAACTGGTTTAACAAACTAAAGAAAGTAATTGGGGCAAAAACCTTTCCTTTGAAGACGATCGGGTACAAGAACTAGAATAAAAAGAGTGAAAAGGCTACCACCATCCAAAGAAAAACTTTAAAAGACCATCAGTCTGTTAAACTTTTGCATTTTGTACATGCATACACAACATGTGAAGATTTAAAGTATCTTATCTCTGTATTACTTTTTATCTTTTTCAGTTTTTATAGCATGAATTAAAATTTTATCTCGTGGGCCATTTCACGGCAGATAATCTGACTAGATTGACTGAATGAACAACATAAGCTTGAACTAATGGTTTCTCAGTTATAAAGAGTGTCCCAGTAAATCATCATTAAACAAGTTAAAATGGCTGCAGTGAAAAACATGTGCTTTCTTATTTTCCATGCATTCCCCAGGGGCAGTGCTGGGTCGTGATGGTGGGGCCATGAAGCAGATGCTGCTGCCGTTCTGGCTCGGCCTCGGGGGTACCCTGGGATCTGGAAGACAACCATTTCCCTGGATCCACGTTTCAGACCTGGCAGGAATCATTGTCCGCGCACTGGAGCCCCCTGCTGACACTCCACCCTCCTCATCACCACAAGTGTTCAACGGAGTCGCTCCGGCTCTCAACACCAACTATGAATTCACTAAAGAATTGGGTCGGGTCTTGAGGCGGCCCACCATCTTTCCTGTACCTGGCTTTGTCATGAACGCCCTGCTGGGTTCGGAGAGGGCCGTGATCCTTACTCAAGGTCAGAAAGTCATACCTAAGAGGACTTTGGAGTCTGGATTTCAGTACAACTACCCTGACTTGACCTCAGCTTTGAAGGAGATTGTTAATTAACAAGAGAGTACGGCGGTTCATTTTTACTGTAATACAAGAATAAACAAATGAGCCTAAACGAGTCATTGAAAATGAATCCCAGGATCATGACTCAGTAAAAGACTGTTGTAAATTACTTATTCATCAGATCTGTGTACTGATGAACTGTTGTTTCTCATATTGCTAAAGAGCAGTTATGGGATCATGTTTGAAAAACTGTTTTAAATAAAATGTCATGCTTTGCTTTAAAGCGTTTCTCCGCATTCGGGACAATAACAAGCGGCTTTAAGCCTTTGCTTACATTTAGAAAGCACTGGGACATGATTGTTGATACGGAAGTGTTTCTGTAAAATAAATCTGACAGAGTTGAGTCTTGATAACAGATGTGTCTAAACTTTCTCCTTTAGCAGCTTTTGCTCCTTTCGTTCAAACTCATGAACAGAGCTACAGAAGATAATCTTGGATGGTTGTACATCTAGCCGTTAATGCTGCAACTAGTGACCGTGTTTATTGTTATTAACTCCTAATTAATGCAAAAAAAAAAAAAAATTGTCAGTGACACAGTGGTTAGTAATATAAATAACCACATGACCACATTACAGATGGTGAAGCACCGAAACAATTATTGGATCTACAGGTCATAGCCTGGAGTCTTTTTATTTTTATTTTTTTTTAAATAGTCGTTTACATAAGTCTAGGTTAATCAAGTTTACTGGATCTTTTTTGTGGCCTGCAGTAAATTAAAAATGTTGCTGAAATCTCACTTTGAGTCTCACAGTGTCACTGAATTAACCTGCAACACGGAAACGTGCAAAAAGAAATTTTACCCTTTTTATTTTAAGGCTGTGAAATGTTATGTTACCAAAAAAATACATAAAGCTCATGTTATGTATTGTTCTGCTGAATAAACAACTTTAAGGTTTGTTTGGACCGCATTGAAAATGAAATGCTTCAAGGTAAATTCAATTTCAAAATACTTTTTAAAAGACATATTTCAGTCCAAAGAGCATCACACTTAAAAATATAATGGTTTATTGGAGGTGGTACACAATAAAGAAAACTGCAGAGAGGAAATGTATATGTAATTTGCAGCTCCTTTGTCTATAAATCAAAGTATTATCAGTTTCACGATGTATCGTATGTTTCCACAGTCTGTCTTCACGGCTGAATCGTCACTCTGAATCACTGTTGACGTCTTCCTCTACACCCCGAATGATCGGCATTTGATCTCCCCAGTCACTGCTCCGAGCGCAGCGGTACATATCTCTGATTAAAATGACATTGAAATAGAACAATTAAACAGAAAAAATCCAAAACAAAACAGTCAAATAAGTCCATCAGTGACAATAAAACAAACAACAAAAAGCAATAAGAATATCCAGCAACTGCCTGTAGCACAGAGTATCGATTATTATGACATACAGAAGGTTTACAATGAATTTCTGCTCCATTTGGTCTAGTTCTGACACATTTTCGGATCACATAATTCAGAATTATAGCAAAATTTGATCAGCAATTCCCCAGTTTGAAGTCCAAGCAAGCCAGATCTTTTGCTGCATTTCCTTCCCTCATTCTCTCTTTCTGTATTTCCCGCATCTTTCCTGCGTACCTACCTGTGTCTAGGAAATCTTTAAACACCCGAGGAGTTTTGTTAATTTTAGAAAACGTTGTTGATGAACTGCGTGGCCCCAACACTGAATCAAATTCAAACAGTACGCAGCCCTAATAAGCATTTTAATGACGTATTTCTTCTTAGTTTATTTTAATGCACCTGGTCCCTAACATCATATCCTAAAAACCCTATGGTATCCGATCTGACCTAGAGTCTTAATATCTCTGGATTCAGGACTGATATCCTCTCGATTATAAAATTAGACTTCAAACGTTTCTTTTTGATGAAACCTGAGCCGAGTCTGGTGACCCTGAAGAATCCTTTTGTCAGACTGCTGGGGGACTTCCCATGATGCACTGAGCAGTTCTTCTTCACTCTCTTCTTTTCCCTCCCAATGCACTCACCTGTCACTACTGAATGTCAGTACCTTTTGTCTTCTCTCTCCTATAGAGTGCATTTTGTCTTCATCTCTCTATGCCAGAGATGGGCAACTCCAGGCCTCAAGGGCCAGTGTGCTGCAGGTTTTAGATGCATCCTTGAGCCCACACAGCTGATTTAAATGGCTAAATGACTCCTCAACATGTCTTGAAGTTCTCCAGAGGGCTGGTAATGAACTAATCATTTTATTTCAGGTGTGTTGACCCAGGGTGATATCTAAAACCTGCAGGACACCGGCCCTTGAGGCCTGGAGTTGCCCACCCCTGCTCTATGCTAGCATTTAAGGAAAAGGACTAAACCTATTCTGCAGCTGATGAATTTGTGTGACACTTATTTTTCTTTTTACCTGCTGTGTTTACGGGCTGTCACCACCATGTGCTGTAGCTGTCCGTCCGGGCAACACATGCGACAGTGGACATGCCTCGTTCTGCGCAGCACTGGTGCAATCAGCCTGGCCCACTCCACACCCTTTGTGCCTTCCTCCACTGCTTCTGTCCGCCTCAAAATTAGGTAGCTGAACTTCTCGATCTGACGGTCATTGTGCTGGAAAAGAAAAAAAAAGGGTTGATATGGAATTCATTCAGCATTTATCTGAAAAAACACAAAACAAAACATGTTTGCATATATAGCACTTTCTGTCAGCAACAAATATAAGACAAGTGTAAATTAATAATACTTAAAAGGCAACAAGAAGAAAAAGTTATGAAGTTGTTGGTTTGCAGGACCAGCATTCTAAGAAGAAAAGCCTCAGAACTTCCTCTCCTCCCATCACCCTTCCAGCTCATCCGATGTGTTCCCAAAGCAGCTGAGGCATAATCTCGTGGGTCTGTCCGAGAGATTCTCTAAGTAGAATATGCTCAAAATGCCTCACCAAGGAGGTGTCCAGGTCATATCCTAGTCAGATCCTCAAAAACCCTCAGCTGGCTCCTTTCGAGTTGCGGATGTACTCTGAAGCCCTCAGAAAGGACTCCCAAATGACAACAGTGAGCCACCCTGCGGAGGTAGTTGATTTCTACTGCTTCTATCTGTGATCTTTTTGTCACTAGAGCTTGTGACCATAACTGTATACCCACCACTGCTTGCCATCTTTCTCTGAGGGCAACTCTAGACTGAGAGTCCAGCCCCTCTCCAGGAGACCTGTTGCAGAGCACCAGCTGTGCGTTGAGGTGAGCCTGACTATATTAGCTGGTACTACTCAAGCACTCATTCACCAGTGTTGTCTTAGGACAATAAGGATAATTTAAAATTCATGCAATGCTGCTCCGGTGGAGTCCAAGAATAAAAAGAAAGAGACCTGGTAATTAACAGATTAGATCCCATTTAAAGTGAAAAGCTGTAAACAGACATAGACAGTTGAGTCTTACCCTGGGTAGAGACAGAGGTTGGTAATGCTGCTGGAAGTTGCAGGGTGTGACGGGCTCATGGGCCAGTTTGGGACACACCAGTTCATGTGGACACTAAAATAAATAAATAAATGAATGAATAGACGCGCAATAAGACTGAGAAACTAATGGCTCTAAGTATGACTTTTAATTAAATCTACTGGGTGTTAAACTTACTGGAGCAAACACTGATGCTGGCCTGGAGTCATAAACGGTCTTCTCTTGTTTCTGGAGTCAGAAAACCAACAATTTAGTTTGATCAATAACAACTATTGTGAACTGCTGTCTTATCCAGTGTGTTTAAATACCTTCAATAAAGTATCTCTGGCTTCCATGAGTATCTGATGGCCCTCTTTGGTCCCATTTTCCACCAGCACCTAGAACATAAAATGCAACGATTAATAGTTTTTTTTTCTGTTTCCTTTTAAACACCAGAGGCTCACCAATGATTTTCTTAAGTTGTATCTTTCTTTGATCTCACCAGATATGAGCTTGTCTTTCTCCAAAGAGTGAATGCTGCATCCTCTCGGTCTTTCACATTTGGCAGCTCTGAGAGGGTAAAAGCTGCAGTGACTAAATCAAACTGCACCTGAAAGGAGAAAAAGGATGGTCAGGATTTCCAGTTGTTGAGATTATCTGGAACATTAATGACAGCAAATCAAAAATATTGGGATTTTCTTTATTTTTTGATTTTGTCTGTTTGTGTTCTTTTCTAGAACAACAACTAAAAATATTTTTAAAATCCATGTATAACCCAGAATTGAAGTCTAGAATATTGCATATACATTTTTAATAACATACTGATTTTTTAAAATTCTTGACAGTGAACACATTGTGACTTAAATAAAAGCTGAGGGAGTTTTACCTTAGGAGAGACAGGGAGAAACTGCCTGAAATATACTTGTTTGATGCAGGGTTCAGCTCTTTCGTCATCACCTGCTCAATTAAAAAAAAAAAAGATAATAATAATAATAATAATAATAATAATAATAATAATAATAATACAATCCAGTCAGTTCTTATTAACATCTGTATTTCACATAAAGAAACAAAAATAAATTGTCTACATGTGTGTCTACCTTTCAGAAGTTGTTCTGCCAAAATGTTCATTGGCCCTGAGCTGTCCACACACACCATCTCCTTCAAAGAGTCACCCCAGCATGCGTGAGATGCCCTGAGGAAACGGCCAGATTATAAACTTAGTTTAGCTATTCAGACTAAAGCATTTACATGTTTTACTAGTGTTGCACACTAACCAGACAACTGTTCCTAACCCAGAACCAAAATCCAGGAGAGTGTGAGGAGCAAAGGAGGGATCCCTCTTCTTTATCTAAATGATGAGGGGGAAAAAACTGCAGGTATAACTGAGTTTAACCACAAAAAACAACTTGTGCTTGGATTCAAGCGATTCTTAAAAAGGAAGCTCCCTGTATCACCACGTAAGCCGATCGCCTCCACAGCACTTTGCTACCTCATTCAGAGCTCTCCTCACTGCAGCGTAACCGCCAGCAAGTCGAGCTGCCATGTAGACCACGCCGAGCTCTTCATCGTACCTGAAACACAGTGAGATACTTGTAAATCTACTGCACGTCAAATTTAAGGACCAAAACTACAACTTCAGGATGGATCATGGTGGAGCGCAACCATTCACTGAGTTTATCTAAAGAAAGCATCTTAAGTCTGTTAAAGGTATAAAATGTTCAGCATTTGTCATAAATCGCAGTTTTAGCTTCTCCTATTATGGGTAAAAGAGGCTTTTTCTCCTTTAGGAATCAGTAAATATAACAAAGAGGCATTCAGAACAGACTGAAACGTGAAAAACTGATAATGGATAACACTGTAGTTAAATGACATGTTACTTCGTGGGTGCCCAGTGATATGTCGTTCTTCGGAGCTCTGAGAGAACTTTCCTCCTAATGCGGTCTTCCATTGCTTGCTCGTCTATATC